TGCTGTGCAGAAGCTTTTTAGTTTGATGTAGTCCCATTTGTTTATTTTGTTTGTTTGTTTCTCTTGCCCTAGGCATTGTATCTGTGAAAATTCTGCTACATAAGATGTCTGATATCTTGCTGCCTCTATTTTCTTGTAGGATTTTTATGGTTTCAAGACTTACATTTAAGTCCTTTATCCATTTTGAGTTTATTTTTGTGTTTGGTGTAAGTTGGTGGTCTAATTTCATTTTTTTTGCAAATATCTGTCCAATTTTCCCAACACCATTTATTGAAGAGACTGTCGTTACTCCATTGTATGCTCTTGCCTTCACTGTCAAATATTATTGAGCATAATGGCTTGGGTTGGTTTCCAGGTTCTCTATTCTGTTCCATTGGTCTATGTGTCTGTTCTTGTGCAGTACCACACTATTTTGATTATAGTGGCTTTGTAGTATAGCTTCATAACTGGTATTGTGATCGCTCCAACTTTGTTCTTTTTTTAAAGATTGCTGCAGCTATTTGGGGTCTTTTTTGTTTCATATGAATTTTGGAATATTTGTTCTAGATCTATGAAATATGCCATTGGTAGTGTAATAAGGATTTCATTGAATCTGTAGATTGCTTTGGTTAGTATGGCCATTTTAATGATTTTAATTCTACCAATCCATGAACACATTATATTCTTCCACTTGTTTATATCTTCTACTATCTCTTTTTTCAACATCCTATAGTTTTCTAAGTACAGGTCTTTTACCTCTTTGGTTAAATTTATTCCTAAGTATCTTAATTTTTTGTTGCAATGGTAAATGAGATTGTGGGGTTTTTTTAGTTTCTCTTTCGGATAGATCATTATTGGTGTATAGAAGAATATACTGTATTTTAAATTAAATTCTAAGAGTTTTCTTTTAAACTCACAGCTAATGTATAAGGCCATAAAGGGCAGCTACATTTTTTCATTCTTCTTTTTAAATCCAACTACAGTTGACTCTTTAAAAAAAAAAATATATATATATATTATTGATTTTTTACAGAGAGGAAGGGAGAGGGGTAGAGAGTCAGCAACATCGGTGAGAGAGAAACATCGGTCAGGTGCCTCCTGCACACCCCCCACTGGGGATGTGCTCGCAACCAAGGTACATGCCCTTGACTGGAATCAAACCCCAGGCCCCTCAGTCTGCAGACCAATGCTCTATCCACTGAGCCAAACCAGTTAGGGCTACAGTTGACTCTTGAACAATGTGGGAGTTAGGGCTACAACTCCCTGCACAGTAGAAAATCCAAGTGTAACCTCAGACTCTCCAAAATATTAACTACTAATATAGCTTATCACAGGGATGGATAACAATAGGTTTACAGTTGTTTGTATAGAAAATAACACAATAATTAATAAATAATAATACAAGAATAAACTGTTTCCCATACTAACAACTGTAAACCTACTTTTGCCTACCCCTGTATTGACTGGAAGTCTTATCAATAATATAAAACATAGGTTAACATATATTTTGTATAATAGGGATTATGTACAATAAGGTGAGAGAAAAGAAAATGTTATTAAGAAAATCCCAAGAAAGAGAAAATATACTTACAGTACTATACATACGTATTGAAAAAAATTCACATATACGTGAGTCTGCACAATTCAAACCCGTGTTGTTTAAGAGTCAATGCTACTTAGCACAGTGCCTCCTTGCTCCATTCCTGGTTGAGAGAGAAGAGTTAGTTATAGGAGAATCTTGCAAACAGTTTCTCACCTTTGTTCTTCCCTGTAATATTCTTATGCCCAATACTTAAAGGCACTTCATTCAATGTGAAGTTCATGAGAATTTAGGTCTCCTAAAGCTATGCTTTTCCTTCCTCTCTGCTCTGACTGCCTGACTGGTTTGGTTGGAAATTGTCGGTTGTGATCTGAGACTAAATGCCGCATAAACCCTAGGTAAAAGGGTTTAAAGTAAGGTTTGGGAAGGTGGTGACTGCGGGCATACAGGTCTCTCTGGCATGCTGCAAGACCGGAGGCAGAGAAGCACTCAGGGACACCTGGGCACCGACCCTGCTTTTTCCTCCAGGCAAGGATGTGGCCATTGCTGAGTTTGACTTAATGTTTAATATTTCCTTAATGTAAGCACATATATTGTTGGTGTACATTCTTCCAGAAGAATGACGCCAGCCTTGAGTATGAAAGGGCAGAGTCGCAGAACAGTGAGGCTTCCAGGCCCCACAAGACCAGTGTTGCTCTCCCTCCTGGCCCAGTCAGGGGCCTGGGTAATGAGGCAGCACTCTGGGACATGCTGCATGTGCTCCTGAGTGAACCCTTGTCTACGCAGATCAGGAACATGCTAATGTCAAAGTGTAGATGGAGATATATTCTTTTTAGGTTGTATATTAATCTAAATCTGCAGTACTATTTTTTTTTAACTTCAAGCACATTCTATAGGCATTTATAGGGAATTTTACACAAAAAAATTTGTTGGCTCTGGAGCAAAAATAAATTGTTTCTCAAAAAAAGAAAATGAAGAAAAGATAAGTAAGAGAAAGAAACAAACAAACAAATTAGACAGTTTAAAAATGATGATGGAATAAAATAAATTTTTAAAAAATGCATACCTCTGTAGTTGGGAAAGATTTTTACTGACCTTGTTCTCTTGAGCCATCCCTAATTTTTATAACTTTCATGATAATAAGAACAGAGTTAAGAGTTAGCTTAGCCCTAGCCAATTTGGCTCAGTGGATAGAGCATTGGCCTGTGGATGAAAGGGTCCTAGGTTTGATTCTGGTCAAAGGCATGTACCTCGGTTACAGGCTCCTCCCCGGCCTGAGCCCTGTTCAGGGCTCATGCAGGAGCAACCAATCAATGTGTTTCTCTCACATTGATGTTTCTCCCTGTCTTTTCCTCTCTCCCTAAAAATCAATGGAAAAATATCCTTGGGTGAGGATTAACAATAACAACAACGAAGGAAGAGTTAGCTTAGCTGAGGGTAGGTCTCAAGGATGGCTGTGGCCCACAAACCTTTGGAGTTGAGGACTCCCAGCAGTCCAGAGCAGGTAACTGGCCTTACAGTAGGTTAGAGATGCATGGAGAGGCCTCCACCCCTTCATAACTAATCTCAGTATCCCAATGGATGCCTTGCCAGGTACTCCAAAATAAAAGTCATAGAACTCTTAGAGTTTAATGCATTCCATTTTCAGTACAAGATGTTGAAGTTTCTTTTATATCAATTGAATTGGCATTGATATCAAACTTGTTTGTGTTACCATCACAAATATCTATTACATCTTTCCATACATCATTAGGGAAAAGCCTGAGTAACTGAAATGACTGTGCTACCAGCTCACTACTGGTATTTCAGAGTATTGTCAGTAAATAGAATTACCACTCATCTTAATTTTGTAGCTTGTCCCCAATTTTGTGATGTAAATACTAAGGAATGAAACATTTTTATACCAAGTTATATAAAAACCAACTCATTCTCTACCTTTTTCTGTTTATGTTGTTGGTAAGGTGGACATAGGGTTGATAGGCACTATTATCAGTTACATTAATGTAAAATTTTAGAAATGTAGTTTAGTATATAAGTGGGTATGAAATGACATTAATTTCTTTTCAAAGAGTGTTCTCAAGGTGATTGTGATCTGCATAAAGTTATTTTCAACACAAATTATTATGGAAAGTTATAATTATGACTTGAAATGATGAAATGATGAGGAAGCATTACATTCAAATTACACAATGTAATTTATTAATTAAAGGTTCTTATTAGCTTTATAAGATGTGTTATAATTATTACATAATTTTGTTAAATCTAAATAAGACATTCTGAATTCAAAAAATGAATCATTTCCATTTTTACCCTAAAATTAAAAACAGCAAATAATGTATTTTTTTAAATATATTTTTATTGATTTTAGAGAGAAAGGGAGAGAGAGATAGAAACATCAGTGATGGGAATCATTGATTGGCTGCCTCTTGCATGCCCCTTACTGAGGATTGAGTTCACAACCAGGGCCTGTGCCCTTGACCAGAATCAAACCTGGGACTCTTCAGTCTGCAGGCCAGTGCTCTATCCACTGAGCCAAACCAGCTAGGGCAAAGAACAGCAAATAATCTTTTGAGCCCATTATAAAAGATAACATTTTCCAGATTCTGAAAAGTACTTCTTCATGGGATGCATTAACTTAATGTGGGAAACTTGGTGAATGAAGCTTAATCTTCAAAAGAAAATAGGAGATAGGGGTAACTGTATCTCTTTGGGAAATTGATCCTCTTTATTTCAAGGGTGAGCCACATATTTAACTGGAATCCAATCCATTAGATTCCAAAAAGCAATTCAGACTTCCCTCAATAGGTTAATTCTCCAAGGTAGAGAATATACTTATTTAAAAATTTGATTTCAGCAGCTTACTATTGTGCAGTAAGTATAGGACTTTTAGTTCCTCGAGGCCATGTTTAGTCAGCTTGGCTCCTTGGCATGGGCTCATTCATAATTCAGGAAAGCACTGGATTTCCATTTAGATGGTGTGTAAGAGCAGTAATAGCCATAACAGACCTTTTTCTTTAAGGGATTATTTTATTTTATTTTAAATAAAACTTCAAATTCCTCCTTAAGCATTCACTTTATTTTCAGTTTGTTAACATCTATTCACTCTTTTTCCAAGATTTATTGAGATATAGTTGACATATAACATTGTATAAGTTAAAGATGTACAATATGATTTGCTACACATGTATATTGTGAAATGCATAACAGCATGTTTGTCTTTATACGGTGTTAAGTTCAAATTTCTAATGCATGCAGCATTTGTTTCCAAACACAAATGCTTTCTTGTGGGTGGTTTAAGACCACCCAGAATCTGATGATGAGAGTTATGGTTCAGAATAAAGCCAATAGGTGTCAGAGCCTTCTTAGGTCTGTATGATTTAATAATTTTTCTCCCTCCCCAGAAGGGAACAGACCTAAGATATTTGGGACATCATTTGCTATGATGTTTGGGAGAAGGAGGCCAGCCTCTTTACTTACAGGAAAAGCTTTTTATGGTGATGTTTTTTTAACCAACATTTTAAGTGTCAGCATAAAACAATGGGAGGAATGGTAAGAAAGATATGAAATGACTTGGATTCTAGTTTTTTAAAATCTCTGTATCCTTATTGATGAAATGAGTATAATGTGCCTCCCACAATAATGTTAATGTGCTTATTATTATGTCTATTGACTGACATATTTAACTAAACTATCTCTGATGATCGAGAGTATTTAAGAAATTTCTATTTTCAGATAATCTCCTTAGGCCTAGGGGGGAATTTTTTTTCAAAAATGTATCCAATATGTCACTAATGCCAAATTAGTGGTATACAAGTTAATGAAGAGTCAGTGCATAAAATGAAGATTTTATATACTTACAGTACTTACAGTTGGCCAGTGCCTAGTCCCCTCATGAGGTGAGATCACTCCCCTCTTGTGATAAGGACAAATCTAAGGGCTCCACTTTCCAGAGGACATCAGCCCTATGAAGAGTGTGAATATTCCAAGGAGAGCATTATAAGAGGAATCTCATTCCCAAACTATTTCTAAATTTTCTCCATTAGTTTAGTGTAAGTTTTAAATTCAAAGATGAAGAATGGCACTGTTCATTAATCATCTTTGTTCTTTTAAATACGGGTCAAAAGGCTCCTAAGATCTTTACCTACTTTAAAGGAGTACAACACAGAAATGGGTTTTCTATGTTTAAATGGGGTTGAAAATTGTTTAATAAACTTTGTTTGCTATGGGTGACATCAAGCATGTCAAACTCAAAAACTAACATGGGCCAAATAAACAAGGTTTACATTTATGTGGGCCGCAAAAAAACAAGTTTCAATTTTCATAGAAACATAGGTTTATTTCGATAGATACATGCTGAATACAAAGGACTAAAATAAATGAGTAATCGTTAACATAAAATAATAAAACATTTTAATAAAAATTAGGATTTTTTCTTGAACATTAACTTACCAGACACTGAATAACTGCACAAATTAATAAGCATAATGCAAATAAACCTATTTTTCTTGTTCTCTGAAAGCGAAATATTTCCTGTTGTGCACACCAAACAAGTTAGTATAAGACTAATGACACGGCAACCGGCTGCTAAAATATTTGCTGCTAGTATAGGTGGAGAGAGATGGTGTGCCTGCACATAAGGTGCATAAGGAAAATGAATGCAACACGATTATAGTAATCAGTCATTAGTGAACATTGTAGTTTGTTATTAATAGTTATGTATAACAGGATATTATAAAAATTAAGTTACAAAATTTTTATTAAAACGTTTCTTACATACCGTTATATTGACTGGGCTGCAAAAATATTCGTTGTGGGCTGAAAAAATATTCGTTGTGGGCTGCATGCGGCTTGTGGGCAGCGAGTTTGACATGCTTGGGTTACATTATCATTTTTTTAAGTACTGTTTGCAAATATTGAGTGACTGTGAGTTGTTATAGAATCTTTATTTTATTCTCAAAGTAATGGGTACTTGGATATATGAACACCATTACATGAGCTTCTTGTCTGTATGTGATTAAATTCATATGTAGTACTAGTAAAAGTTTTAAATATAGATTCTTTTATAATTACAGTTTCCCAGCTTTAATTTGTAAGGTATGGTTTTTAAAACTCTCCTTCTGTTGCTGTTTTAGGAAGCTTTTTAGGACTCCATTCTTTCTGGATTAGAAGTGCACGTATGGAACCCAAGGGGCACGCACTCCTCCACTTACACTTATGAACTGAGCAGTCTGGACCTTGCATGGCTTCTGGGGGGAAATATAAATCTGAATCAAACTGATGGCTTTTTAAGCCTTTCAACCAGTTGCTTCTGAGCCAGACCAGCTGTAAGCTGAAACCTCAAGGAAGAACAGGACAAGACTGCAGGCATTCATGATGCTTTGCATCTTTCCTAAACAAGAAGTTTCTGTGCTACAAGTGTGACTTCAAAGACTGATGCACTGAGTTGGCAGCCAGGGAGGTTATGGACCAATAACAAGAACCAGAAATGCAGTCGTGTGTATTTTCAAGGTGAATGTGGTTTCACAAGACTAAAGACCCAAAGTATAAGTTTTCATCTATATTTTCTTTTAAAATAATTTCACATAGTCAGTTATCCTACTAAAAGTCAATGTTATATTAGTTACCTTAGTTTTTATGTAGAATGGGTTCAAAAATGAGTGTTTCTATTTGAGGAAGGTCACTTTTTGTCATCTAAACTAATTGACCTGGGAAGGCTAGAATTGACTTCATTCTGCCTGCCTAAATCTTGGGCTTATTAGTTGAAGTCAATTGACCTAACTAAAAATTAGAGGAAAACAAGTCTTTTTAAGAATCAACACTTCTAACCTCAGCCGGCAGCTCACAAACACCTACCTGCTGGAGCTACTTATGAGAGGACTGCGTCAGGGAACAAGGTGGGGAAAGGCCACCATCACCCTGAGTCCAAAACCACTGAACACACACATTCTAGAGCAGGGGTGGGCAAACTTTTTGACTCGAGGGCCACAATGGGTTCTTAAACTGGACCGGGGGGGCCGGAACAAAAGCATGGATGGAGTGTTTGTGTGAACTAATATAAGTTCAAAGTAAACATCATTACATAAAATGGTACGGTTCTTTTTTTTCAATAGTTTTATTCATTTCAAACGGGCCGAATCCGGCCCGCGGGCCGTAGTTTGCCCACGGCTGTTCTAGAGACTTGCATATTTCTGTGGAAATCAGTTGGTATGGCAGCATCTGTTACTCTGTCCCTGTGACAGAAGATGCAGAATTTCTCTTTTATAGAAAAGTATTTATTAAGATAATCTTTTTTTTCTTTTTCTCACCCTTCACCCACCAACCTGTTCTCTGTATCTATGAACTTGGTTTGTTTGTTTTTTTGTTTTGTTTTGCCTATCATACTAAGGAATTTAGAAATGACAATGTCCCTTTACTACTGAAACATGTCACCAAGTGAACAATCTTATGAGATACACTACATATTATAACCAGGAGCAAAAGCATTTTGTCAGCAGCCTTTGAGTGAACAGCCTGTCACTGCTGCAATGTAGTTTGACCAAGACATTAGAGTGTTCCCTCGGATCTCATCAGCTTAGTTAGGACAATAATGTCCCATCTTAGCCAGACGATGCTGATTTAAGTGTGGAGCTTCTCCTCAGATGCTTACCCCATCCCGTCTCACATTGGTATTTACACACTAGAAATATCTCTATAGCAGAGACAGAAATAAATGCAGATCAGGCATGAACTGAGGATGGCTCATTTCTCTTCATCTTTTATGGCCTGGAGAGGAGTTAATTGAACAGGATTTATTGTTTCTTTCTTAAACCTACATGATCAGATCTGGCCTTTTAACTGAGTCCATTAGCTTTGTCCCGTTTGCACTTTTTAAAAAAGAAAGACCTTTCAACATCAATGTGTTAGAATGTACTAAAATATTTTGTTTCAGAATTACCCCATCCAAATCAGTGTCTTTTACCTAAACTGAACATTTAAACTGAACATTAAAAATCTGGACATTATTATCTTCTCACATCACCCCATATGTTTCTCTCTTTGTAAGACATTAGTAAAACCTAATGATCCCTTTTCTGTGGCTGGGACAGTTTCTCTATCCATAGTTTCAGGCTCTGATATGTGCATGTTAGCTTGCCTGGGTTTGTCCTTCTCATGACCTCAGTTCATTTAACTGAAATACGAAATTAGAGTGTCTCATGGCAACTCACAATTTTGTGTGAGCACCCAGTCATAATCGATTGATTTCTACTTTCTTCTTGTTTGTGCGTTGTGTTTTTTGTTTTGTTTTTTTACCATAAACCAATAGTTCTTAAACTTTGGTACTCGCGAACTCTTATGAGAATTTTTAGGAAACTCAGGTGAAATATTTAGGACTTGACCACAAGATGTCTATGAAAATGCTTTTTAAATTCATATACGTGTACTATTGTTTGCAATCTGATCATTTTTGTTATGAAAGAGGGATGATCAAAGTAAGCCAAGGTTGTACTCATTTTTGCAACCTGAATATATTTTTCATATGAGCTCTCATTAACTTTAAAGACAAACACTTGCTGGAGAATGAGAGCTAGATTGATGAGAATGAGATTGGCCAAAAATCCTGAAACATCACTTTTGATCAGGAGATAAATACTTAGAGTTGAAAGTCAATTTGACTTGATACTGCATTTGAAAAATCCTCGATTATTTTTATTAAGATGAAGACATTTTACCCCATTACTATAGACACATACAGTGTTATATTCTACATTCTTTGTAAACATTTGAGGAAAATCCATTTTACATTTCACATTGTTGGAATACCCTATTGCACTCAAATAAACTCAGCTGCTAGAGTGCTGAAGCTGGAAACTCATTAAGTAATAACGTGGCTGGGAGTGCATAATTGTGACTTTTAATGCTGTAAGCAGTCATCGACAAGAATGAAAGACAACCATATAAAGGCATGGGTTTTCTAATTTTATGTATATGGAATATATGTTTCAAATATAAAATTTCTACTTTAAATAAAGTTAATGTTGCTGTTACCTAGGTTAAGCACTACTTACTGTCTATGCTAGTAAAAATATAAACCATAAAAAGGAAAAAATATATCATTGCCTTAAGGTAGTCAGCTTGACTCAATTTAGATGTCATTATTATTGTTTTGCATACTGGAATTTTCTTATATGAAAAGTTTTGTAATACCTTTTTTATTTGTGAATAAAATTGTTATCTGGTATTCTTATTTGCATGTTTAGAAGAAAGTGATTGATGGTGTGAATGCACACCATCTTGCTGTCCCATGTGAGAGTCTCATTAAGTTCTGATCTTTCCAATATAACCCTTTCGGCCTCTCAAACTTTATGAGGGATATTTGAAATCCTTACTAGTGACTGCCTATATTTCTCAGGCATATCAAGCTACTGAAAATGCTTGAGTTATTCGAGAATCTTTGTTATCAAAGTTTTATTATGATCTCTTTCTTTCCCTTAATTTTATGACACAAAGAAGGAAGGACTTATGGAAGAAGTTTTATGTATTAATTTTTTATGGAGGGCAATAGGCTGTTCTCCTGCAGAGGTGTGGACTAACAAAAGATAAGAACACTGGTCACTGTAAGAGTTTCCTTTTTCTTCCTAGCTTCTTACCTTCCTTCCTCAATCCCTTTATTCATTCTTCCCTTCCTTCCCCTCAGTAACCTATCCTATGTAATAATAGAGAAACATGGTAATTAACCATAACTTCACTACCCTTCCCATTGGCTAATCAGCGAGATATGCAAATTAACTGCCAACCAAGATGGCAGCCGGCAGCCAGGCAGCTGAAGTGAACAGGAGGCTTGCTTGCTCCA